GTAATTGCTTCTCCTTAAACCCAGTCCTTTCGTGCTAGATGAATGGAAATCTCTCCACATGCGAATTTCTGAGAGAATTTGTGTGTGAATGACGTCCTTCACCTAACAGGTAAGAACACATAGTTTCTTTCCTTAAGGAAAGTGCAATATGTACATATATATCAGGAGGTACTAGCTCCATCTCAGTTTTACAATGAACCATGCAGGGAATTCAAACTGGCACAAGGAATCAAAATTAGACATCAGAGTAAGGGTGCCACTTGCAAAAATTTCCCTTGGTTCTAGATTAACGAAATTCTCTACACATGCTCGGATTTCAGAGATGATTGTATGTGATATCCGTGCTTCACCTAGCATGCGGGCAACATAGAGTTTCTTTTTAGATGGAAACAACACTACCTGCATTTATTTGACGAGGTAAAAGAACCAACTCGGCTTACAATGAGGAGGCAGAAAATTAAAAATGGCACAAGTAAACAGACTAAGGAGTCAAAGAAATTTATTCTCCTGCAACACGATCCCTTTGTGTTGAAGAACCGAATTCGCTCCACATGCTCAGTTCTGAGAGTTAAGGGTGTATGAAAGCCGTCCTTCACCTAGCTTGTTGGGAACACAAAGTTTCTCTTCAGTTGCAAACTCTACTCCATACATATATATGGGGAGGTACAGGCTCCAAGTCGGTTTTACAGTGAAAATTACAGGAACTTCTAACCGGCACTAGGAAACACACTGAGAAAACAGAGTGAGTGTTTCTCCTGCAACCCGTTCCCTTTGTGCTAGATGAACGAAAGTATCACCACATGCTCAGTTCTGAGAGATAAGTATGTGTGAAAGCCGTCCTTCACCTAGCTTGTTGGGAACACAAAGTTTCTCTTCAGTTGCAAACTCCACTCCATACATATATATGGGGAGGTATAGGCTCCAAGTCGGTTTTACAGTGAAAACTGCAGGAACTGCAAACCGACACTAGGAAACACACTAAGAAACCAGACTGAGTGTTTCTCCTGCAACCCGTTCCCTTTGTGCTAGATGAACGAACTTCTCTCCACATGCTCATTTCTGAGAGTTAAGCGTGTGTGAAAGACGTCCTTCACCTAGCTTGTTGGGAACACAAAGATTCTCTTCAGTTGCAAACTCAACTCCATACAAATATATGGGGAGGTACAGGCACCAAGTCGGTTTTACAGTGAAAACTGAAGGATATTCAAACCGGCACTAGGAAACACAGTGTGAAACTATAGTGAGTGTTTCCCCTGCAAACCGTTCCCTTTGTGCGGGATGAACGAACGTCTCTCCACATGCTCATTTCTGAGAGATAAGTGTGTGTGGAAGCCGTCCTTCACCTAGCTTGTAGGGAACACAAAGTTTCTTTTCCGTTGCAAACTCCACTCCATACATATACATGGGGAGGTACAAGCTCCAGCTCGGTGTTACAGTGAAAAAGGCAGGCACTTCAATTCGGCACCAGGAAACATTCTGAAAAACAATAGTAAGTGTTTCTACGGCAACGCGTTCCTTTTGTGCTGGATCAAAGAACGACTCTCCACATACTCCGTTCTGAGAGATAAGTGTGTGTGATAGCCGTCCTTCACCTAGCTTGTAGGGAACACAAAGTTTCTTTTCAGTTGCCAACTCAACTCCATACATATATATGGGGAGGTTTAAGCTCCAACTCGGTTTTACAGTGAAACAGGCAGGCACTTCA